CAGAGATGTTTATTTATACCTTGCTAAAAACTCTTTGGCCATGGGTCTCTTCTATACCCGGCCAGTGTTTGCTTTGGAGCTTTCTAGACCTACACAAACACGTTGGGTTGACTGAGAGATTTCAGCTCCGGGTAGGTTCGGGGAGGAGTGGGGGAGAGTTTATTTATGTATTTAATTATTTTGGTCCAAATATGTCTTTTAAAAATCAATACAATTAATCTGTCAGCTCCACGTGTCTCCGAGACACAGAAGGTGGCGGAAGGTCCCTTCGGGCTGGAAAAAATCAATTCCCCGATTAATTGACCAAAAAAAAAAAAAAAAAAATAAAAAAAAAAAAAAAAAAAAAAAAAAGAAAAAAAAAAAAAAAAAAAAAGGTGAGAGGGAGAGTTACAACCGGCTAGAAGCGGGACGGAATTTCATCTCCCTCGTCCCAGTTTTCCCCAGTGGCCTTCCAAGGGTGGCTGCACCTTTCTTGGGCATGGACCCGCAGTGGCGTCGGTGCCTGCTCTCCGCCACTGCCCCTGTYCCGGCTGACCATCACTATTGTAGAGCATTTAGGAGCAGCCTCCCCACCTCCGGGGTGGCCGAGTCCATCGGAAAAGGACAGGTCTCGACAGCCCSCCTGGGAATGAGCGGGGAACGACAGCGCAAGGGTCCTCATAGTTCGTCCATAGGGTGAAAGAGCCTCCTCCTGCAGCGCTCTCGGGCTCCAGGAGGAGACCAAAGCCCCCGGGCGGCTCGGGACMGAGCCGGTCCGCCCCACAAAGAGTAGGCGGGCTTGCCGGGAGCTCCCGGACCCAGTCCGCCCCGGGAAGGCGATGCGTCCCGGGAGGCCGCTCCGGTCTGCGGGCGGCCCTGGGGCCGTGTGCCAGCCCTTCGCACGGCGGCCGAGGGGCCCTGAGCCCCGCCGGCGCCTCCGGGGGCCGCGGGACCCCCCGCTCCGTCCCCTCCCCGGTCCCGAGGAGCGCTGAGCTCCCGAAAGCCGGGTGGGGGCTCCTTCACGAAGTTTTACAGCCTGTTTTTAATACGTGCCAACTTCTATATAAATGGCACTTGTAAACGTGTCCGGCTTCCTCCCGTGCTAACGAATGGGGGTCGGAACTTGCTGAGGGAAAGTAAAATAAAACCGGAGCTAACTACCTGTTGGAAAGGCATCCTCAGGGCTCCCATATTCACATAGGGGGCTACTCTGCAGGCGTCTAAATGGCTGGCGGTTCCCAGGATCACACCTGCGGAGAGAGACAGGGCCGGGTGAGTGCCGAAGGCGCCTCGGAGMTCCGAGGCCGCCCCCCCGGACGGTCCGCACCCCTAACCCACCTTTGTGCATCTGGTTTTCCTGCTTTCGGCACTTTGCTCTCCTATTCTGGAACCAGACCTGTGAAAAGAAAAAGCAAACAAAAACAAAACAACAAGAAAAATTGAGGTGGTCTAGGCAGCTGCTGAGGGAGCGTTATCTCAGGAGCTAGGGACGGAGGGGTGAGGCGACTGACTGCACAACTTTGCTGAGGTCTCTCCTCAGGAGCAGCCGAGGGGAAGAGCTCGACCCCAGGCGGAGTGAACCCCTCTCTGTGCTGCTGTGGGGCTGTTCGAGGGGCAGGTCCTGCTCCTCATCGTGGTCCCTCAGCTGAACCTAGGAGACGGCAAGCGCCCTCGCAGCCGGAGGGACCGGGAGCCTGCCACTTAGCATCGAGACTCGGGGGCYCCTGTGTCCCCTGGGCAGACAGTGGCGGTTTTTGTGCCAACCGTCTGYAGCTTACAAAAAGACCACCCGCAGGACGGGTGCGACCCTCGTACCCTTCCTAGTCACATCTTAAGCAGCCCGGGAAGAGCCAGCGTGGACCACGTCAGACTTCGAGGTCTGGCCCCCAAGAGACTGGACCTCCTGCCCTCTCCCGAGCCGGGCTTGAAATCGATGATCTCTGACAAGATGCAAGACACTGAACTTTCCTGAAAAGGTCTGAATCATTCCCCATTCCCTAAATGTTAAAGAAAACAAAGTTCACTTCTGCAGACTTCTGGACAGACAAGAGCAGCATCTTTTGCAGGCTGAGATGTAAAGAAGTGCTTATGCCCCTACCCGAGAAACGCCAGTAATCTGATAATATTGCCCCAATTCTAGCCGTTCTCACTCAAACAATCGAGAACTTTGCAGCTGCAACCGTGCCTCCCGTGCCTCTTTTCCAGGGGCACTTCAGACTTTCATTACTTTTCCCCTTCCGCTGTGCACGATTAGCAGCTCTCCCCAAAGCATCGTCAGAAGCACGGGCCAAAATATTTTGCAGACCCTTATCTTTACACCAAAACCTACCGAATATGGACAAACATTGACTTTCACCGCTGATAAAATCTTGTAGCTAAGTAAACACCTACAACCTTTGATGTTCTTGCACTTGCCAAGAGATCATACGGTTAATTAATACTAACTGCACTTCCTACATCAAATTTTCCCTTCAAGCTTTCTTCAATTGCCTTAATGATGGTCATTTACAACGGAGTAATTAGTGCAAAGAAAGGCTTCCGAAGGCATTAATTACCTCGGGTACCTCAGTGATTTTCTTAAGTAGGAATTGGCTTTCTCCGATTCAGCGGACCATTTTTCCTACCGAGAATGTCCGTGGGGGAAGCGCTCAGCGGGCAGCTGAGGAGTGCCGCGTGTGCGGACAGACCGACCGACCAACCGACAACGGAGCGAGGGACAGACAGACAGACAGACAGACCGACCGACCCACCCAGCCACCGGTCGCGGTTCCTGTCCCTGAGGGCTGTCGCCAGCGCAGCCCTCCCCGCAGTAACCGGGCATCGCTGCCGCCCCGCTGCCCTGCACAGCACAGCGCGGCACAAGCCTGCTTTCCCCTACCAGCAATACGCAAATTACATGCATGATACGCACATAACAACGTGCATCGCTTCTCCTTTCAACCGGACCGTCAGGGATTTATATAAATATATATATATATATATATATATACATATTAAAATATGAGCATGCAAAATATTTTCGAGTTGCAGCGACAATAATTTTTTTTTTTTTTTTACTGCAGTAAATCCTTGCAGGAAATCTCCTTGTGTGCTTTCCCCACGAACCTCCCCCCCCCGCCTCGCCAAAGCAGTGTAAATTGTCAGAAGAAATTTAAGCAGCGTTTAAACAACTTCTCTTGCAAATCAGAACATCTTTCAAACCAGAATTATATTTAGATCTGGAAAACGAAGTGCCCTTTCCCTTTAGCTATGAAAAAATAAGGTTATGAGGAATAAAAGTGATGAATTAGCCACTGCGTTAAGCGATAATAAATCAGGCTTGGTGTGATTCGCGATCAATTCCAATTAGTCATGAATATGCTAAGTAAAGCACAGTACACTGTTTTAGACAGTTATTTCTTCATTAAGGATCACTCAGTGATTTCTTTCACAAATGCTCTAATCTGATTTCCTTTTGATTTCCATTAGAGACAGTGAATAATGACATTTAATTTAGCCCTGCACCATAAACCCAAAGATATTTGTTGTAATTGAATTACTGCCTGCTCCTCACTATGGTCTCATAACTTTCAATTATAACCCTGACAGCTGGGTGATATGAGTTTCCAGTACAACACTAAAAATAAAAGGTTAATAAGGACTAGCTACCATAGGAGCTTCAATTTATTTACAGCAAATTTCCACGCTAAATTGAAACTATATCCTTTAATAGCAAGGGACAAGAGGTTCAGATAGGAATTAGAGAACAATTCCAAAAGTATAAGAAAAAAGAGAAAAAAAAACACTTTTCCCTTTTCTGCCTTTTTCTTTTTTTTTTCTGCTTCCACTTATTGATGAATATTAGTTCTCTGCTTATTTCCTAATTAATTATCTATTTTTCCTATTTTTCCTCTTTATACTTATTTTTTTTGCATAGGGATTTTTAATCCTATTTTAAAAGATGGTTAAATACTTTTTTTTTTAGATCTTGGTTATAATCTCCTCCTGATTTTCTTTTTTTTTTGCTTTTTTTTTCTTGTTTTATTGTGTGTGAGAGTGTGTTGTTTTAAGATCTGTAAGCACTTGAAGCACCAATTTTCCTGTAACTATGAACATCCTGTTAAGGTGCTTCTCAGTAATAAAGTACTTGAAAGAAAGAGTGCAGAATTCAATTACAAGTAATTTATTTTTATAGAAACAGTACATCAAGGCCTTGGAAAGATATTACAGAGCCCAAGTAAGAAGATCTGGGAAGATGACATAAGAGTTGATGTCCCCTTCAGCAAAAGTTTAATCTTTTCATTAATTTATATGGTGTGGTTAGATCAATCTTCCAGGAGAAAGTAGGCCAGCAGCACTCTGAACCCCTGCAATATCCCCTGCAAACTGCCATTCCTARGGCTTGTGCCCGGCACCATCCCTTGCCCAGCTCGGTTTGTACTGAGGGTCATGGGAGCTGAGGGGAGAATGAAACCTTGAAAGAAAAAAAAAAAAAAAATGGAAAACAAGTAGGAAGGAGAGCAACCTAGGTACTCCATTTATTTCAGGATTTGCCTCCAGGAGACAGCTGTTTAAAGCGAGGTGGTGGCTTGCTCAGGCAAATGCTGGCTGAGCAGAGTGCTGCCTGCTTGCTTTCCATGCTAAGGAGGGGGTCTAAGAGAGCCCTCTCCCCACTCCACCTCGGGGCCGTATTTCTTAACTTCCTGCTGTGCCCCGGGAGCCAGGTCAGGGCATGGAGGGCTCCATCCATGCCCACAGAGCCGTACCCAGTGCCCGTGTGTAGCCACCCGCACACTCCTATAGGCAGATATACATATACATGGGCATCTCTTATCTCCAGGGTGTCAGGGCGTTTTATGCAGTGGAGGGGTTGCCTTGGTGACTTTTTCCTCTTGGATTTTAGTTTGGTTTGTGTCTGTTAGGCCAAGCACAGAATTTTAATCCAAGAAGAGATTTCCTTCAAGTTTCTCATGCTCTAGTAGATTTTTGTTAATTATTTCTATGTTGGATTTTTTATTTGGTTGGGGGGTTTTGTGGGTGGTTTTTTTTTGGTTTTTTTTGGGGTTTTTTTTTTTTTTTTTTTTTTTTTTTTTTTGACATCTGTTTTGTGGAAGCATTCCCTAGTTGGCTTGGGGGAAGAGGGAATATTTTTCATCTGCATCAAACTGAAAATCAAATTTTAAAATAATCGATGTGAAGCCACCCAAACAGACAGCTCTGGTGGCCCCAGGACTACAGCAACCCGGATCTATTTTCAAGATCTCGAAGTCTAATTGGCATTTAGCTCTCTCTGAAGCGGGATGGGAGGGACGGGGGGAACCTCCACCAGATGGGGTGGCATGCATTCATACGCTTGCTGTGCGAATCAGAGCCGGCACCTTTCCCCCGGCTCTGGCTAATCCCGTCCCTCAGCACCCAAACTGTCTAGCCTTATTCAGGCGATTGTTTTCTGGCCTTTTTCCCCATCAAGGCCCCATAAAAGAAAAAGCGGGAAGAAAGTAAGGATTAAGAGAGAGTAANTGGCAAAAAAAAAAAAGAAAAAAAAAATTTTAAAAAAAAAAAAACAAAAAAAAAGAAAAACAAAAAAACCAGCAGTTGTTCAGTTATTAGAGACTTGTCAACACTATCACCACCCAACCATCCTACCGCACACACATACCAAAAAATATTTTTAACTGCCTCCCTAGGAAACGCAAGAGATGGGCAGATATTCCCAGAGCAGAATTACTGTTTGGCAGGACAGGTACAGCAGAGTTGCAAACAGCTTCCCCATCACACGTGTCACCTCTGCCTTCACCTCCCCTGTTTGCATGAAACGGGGCACTGTGCTAGGATCCGCTGGCAGTTAGGAAGTGAGGTGAGGAGGTTTCCAGCAACAGAGCCTTTCTCTTACCTGAACCCTAGCTTCAGATAGTCCCAGCCTCTGGCTTAGTTCCTCCCTCATGAAGGCATCCGGATAGTGAGTCTCATCAAAAAGTCTTTCCAGCTCGTTCAGCTGCTCTAGTGTGAAATTGGTTCTGCTTCTCCTTTGTTTAAGCTTGGTCTGTCCGTCTTCATCTTCTGACTTTACATCTTCCCTCTTTTCTTTGCATTCGTAGATCCCTGCCGGGAGGGGGAAGAAGAAAACGACACTGAGCCTCCCCTCGCACCTCTTCGAAATTCTCTCACACGGGGGTCTCCCTCCTCCCTTGCTCGTCCCCAAACACAGCACAACTTGCGGGTGCAGCTGTCGGGCGGGCAGGGCGTCCCCRGACAGGCCCCGGAGGGGGAGAGGGGCTGAGCTCCGCTGCAGGCTCCGCGCCGGGCAGGGGCACCTCGCCCGAGGGTCGGAGGGAGGAAGGGAGCCGCGCTGCCTTGCCCGTCTGATGCTCTATCAGAAAAACTATACAGATAAATAGAATTCTATTTTCTTTGCAGGGTTAGGAGAAAGCCGTGCCGCCCGTTGGCACGGGCAGCTCGGGGAAGGGGTTGGTGGGAAAACCGCCGGCCCCCGATACCTCCAGGCGGTGGGAAGAGGTGGGGGAAGGGGGTTTCTCCGGCGACGTTTGCTCCCAAAGTAAAGAGGGTAATGCAAGAAGCTCCCTAACGCTGTCATGGTGAGGCCACGGTAAAAATATCTCTCAAAAGAAACTTTCCCTGGACATGAGACGGGCTGCCCGTCTCTCTCCCCCTTATCAACCCTCTTTCCCCCAAAATACCTGCCAGCGGGTCAAAACCCCGGGGGGGGCGGTTCCGCGAGGCCCTGTGTGGGGAGAGCGGACTCCAGGGCCATGGGTGCCTCCCAGCCCCTCCGAAAGAGCAGGAACCTTCACAAATTTCAGGGACTCCATCTGGGCTCGTGGAGAGCTTGCGACCAGAGGCAGCCTCTGTGCATGCTTGTCCCGGGCAGAGGGGAGGTGGGCTGTGGGGGCAGCGGCTAAGACAGTTCCCCTTTTCTGTCTTGGGGAGGGAGATTTCTTTTGCTTTGGCAAATTATTTCATTATTATTATTATTATTATTATTATTATTATTATTACTATTATTTATTATTCCTCCTTTTCCTTAATGCCGGGAGGCCTGGGACACTGTCCTTCTTTTAAATCCAGTTTAAAAAGAAAGAAGAAGAGATGCTGGAGCGGGGAACAGCACTTTAGGCTGAACCGGTTCCTCGGGATCCCCTGCCTGCCTGGGGCACCCCGCCGTGTGTGCATGCAGCGCGGGTACCGGCGGAGTCCCGGGACGATCCTGCTCTGGCTGCATCCTTTGTCATGCCTCACCTCCTGGGTGGTGTGGGTCTGGAGGGAGTCGCATCTGGGGATGTGCCCGAATTAAATCCCTTTTCCTTCACCAAATACACGGGTATTGTAAATATATACACGTACGTATACACACAGAGAAACGTACGCATGCACATGTATTAACCTATATACTTAGGGGCATCCCAAAATGCAAATTATAAACTGCAAATCGTAAGTTAATTAAATGTAAAAAAGCGTCCTGAACTTCATCTGGGCTTAAGTAAGGTAGGACCCAAGCCGAAGCACTCGTTTTCACTTCCGAAATTAAAACTGTCCCTGACCGTAATTGTTCCTCCGGGCTCCGGGATGATATTGGTTGGATAAAACTTTGGGAAGGGTCTGGCCTCCGGTTGGGGGTATTCGCTGGTTGGTTTTAATGCCATTTTGTTCTCATTTCTCCTGTAAAGGRAATCCCTATGAAAAGACGAGGGTGCTAACCCAGCAAATGCCTAGGGAAAATCAGGCGCGTTCAAAAGCTGTCTCTWTTCCGAGGCTACAGCATGTCCGTGATAGGTATAAAATATTAACTAGCATATCGGTGGGACTGAAATCACACGCCGGAATCAGTTGAAATTAGACTGAAACCTGGCATGAATTTAAACTGTCACAAGCATCTCAGCTCTTTCCAACTCCTCCCTTCCATCCCCACCCCCAGCCCCTTTACATAGATTAGATTAGCTAAACATACAAGCTAGAATTTCGATTCACGGGGAGAAGGGAGAATAGTTGAGGGGTTTTTTTTTTCGTTCGTTCGTTTGCATTCTATTTTTAATTTCTGAAGCATGCCCTGCTTTCAGTTTTTAAAGACATCTCCTGCGTGAATGATTCCCTTAAACTGAATCCTCTTGTTTTTCAGTCTCTCGACTAGAGAAGGAAAATAAGCAGAACTGAATGGTACTGGCTTGTACAGAAATACGGGTACTCAAATACGTGATTATACCCCGCTCTTCTGTTCGGGGAAGGGGTGGAAAAGAGAAGGATATTAAATAAAAGTTTGGGCTGTAAATTAAATCTCCCGGTGTTATATTAAACAAGATCAAACAGTAGGAAACAGCTGAAAGGCTGATTGTTGTTCCCCAACCTATTAACCGGTTTTTATTACCYCAAGCTAGCCAGTAGCTCCCCAGGCAGGTCCACCTGTCTAACTTGCCTAGAGACACTTTCTCAACTTTCTAATCCCCACGTCCTTTTAATTCTCTCCTTCCCCTGTGAGCCTGTGCGGGGGTTTTAGTTGCCTTGCTTTAAAATATATAGATATTTTTAATTTAATTTTCTGTTTTTTACTGGCAGAAGGAATGGCGTTTTGCCCCTCGGTCAGCGGGGTGTCGTGCTGCCCTGGCCCAGGYGAGAGGACAGGCAGGGGACAGAGGGACCCGTCGGGCGGGCCACCCGCTGCCTCTCGCCGCAGCGATGTTCTGTCTCACTGGGTCTGGGCAGCTGCCCCACAGCCGGGCTCCTCTCCTGCTTTCCGCCCCCGCCGGTCGGAGCCTCTGAGCAGGACAGGCTGACCGACCCAAGACAAAATGTCCAGGGAGAGCCTCTCCATATCCCGCTTTCTCCCAGAACAAGCAGCAGCATCCTGACGGCCCGGAAGCAGGAAGAACAGGTCTCCTAAGGCATTAAAACTCCCCGGACAAGGTTTCCTCGTACAAAAATACACAGATAGACAAAAACGTCTGACGTGCTGCGCTGCCCCCTTCCCCCAGGCGAGAGAACGCCTAACGCACCGGATCGATTTCGGATGTGAACGGGGGCTGGCGTGGGGGGCAGGACCGAAGTTGTGACTTATTTTKCACGGCTACGCTCACGTTATGCATGCAGGAGTACGTGTTCCTAAGGCTGTGTTCCCGCCGCTGCGGGAGGGAGGTGACCGCAGGAGGGAAGCAGGATGCGGGAGGCGATCCCGCTCGTCCCGCCGGGGCCGGAACCGGGGCCGCGGTAACTAACTCGCCCCCGCTGCGGAGAGCCAGGCACGGCCGGGCTGGGAACCGGGGCTGCCGGCGTGAAGCGCGGGGCGGAGGGCTCCCAGCCCTGCTCTTACCTTCCGCTGTCCTGCCCGTGTTGAACTCCTTCAGTTTGTCCTTGTCGCTCTCTACGTGGTCTTTGAAAAGATGCACCGGGCAATGGTTGCTGCTCTCAGTCATGTCCTGCAGGTTAGAATCAGAGTTTCCAAGCTCCCTAGAGCGAGCCAAGCCACTCTCCAAAACTTCCCTGTACGTGATCGTCTCCTTCTTGTTGCCGCTGCCACTGCCGCTGCTGCTCTCTTTGCTTTTCTGGTCAAAAGATTTGGATACAAAAGCCGTAAGTTCTTCCATGGTTGCCCGGTGATCTTATCCACAGAGATCCACTTGTTTTCAATCGGAGATGTGGCCGTCCTCCGCACGCTGTTTTTGCACGTAGAAGATGGGCTGTATAGGGTTAGATCACTCCTGCTGTTATTTATGCCTTTCAATTTGAGATCACACTATTTATACATGGCTACCTCAGCCCAACCCCCAGCTCTCCCTGTCTCCAGCAATTACTGACTGCTCCATAGTCGCAGGCGGACTCCGAGCAGCTATCTCCCCCACCTCAGTCCAGCAATTGGCTTTCTTTTCATTTCATCACTCTTTGGCATCTTTGCACCTTGATTTAGGGAGGCAAAGAGGCAACAGCGAAAAAGCGGGGGGGAGAGGGAGAGGGAGAGAGAGAGAGAGAGAGAGAGAGAGAGAGAGAGAGAGAGAGAGAGAGAGAGAGAGAGAGAGAGGAATAAAAGGAAGGGAGGGGGGAAGAGGAAAACATGAAAATAGGTATCTACATTCTGTATATGGGTCGCAGAAATGAGAGTCGAGGAAGATTTAATTGATTTAAAGGACATCCTGTGCGTGGCAACACTGTGAGTAAAAACGGACCCCACAGCTAACCAAATAACTGTGCTCCTGCAATTAAATGTATCGCTGTCAAGAGGAAAGGAAAATGAGTGTTCAATAAAAAAGGTAATGAATAAAAAGCCGGAGATGTGCATTTTTTGTAATCATTGGAAATTCTACCTGATTTGCTATTTAGCTAATTTCTCTTAATTAAACGGTCAAAATAATCGGCGAAACAAAAATGCTGTTTTAGAAGTGTTGCCTGTTCTGACTGGCGGTGGGTGGGTGGGTGCGCRGAGGGGGACGTGTGCTGCAGCTAAACAAGTTGTGAGGTGCCTCGGAGATCCGTGTCGGTGTGTTCGGAGGATCTGGAGTGGGTTCTTTGGCTGGGGGTATCCATAGGCAAGGGGTCTCTCCAGACGCGTGTGAACATTGCAGGATCTGTTTTCTTGTTTATTGTTATTATGTTGTCTGAAGGTACTGTAGGGGGGAATTAAAATCTAAAATRTTTCTCTGTGTGTCGATCTATCTTGCTGCATGCAGCAGAGGGGTAATTTGTTAACAAGAGAGTCTGTACACGACAAAYAGAGCATTACGCCTTTTTTATTTTCTTTTTTTTTATTATTTTTTTTTTCCAACGAAACATATCCTGCTGGATTTAACATAGTACTGGCAATAATTTCCCCACCTTGCTCTTGGTAGGCTGCAGTTATTTTTGTTGTACTCCTGGAATAATTATTATTCTGTGCACTTGAATAGCTGCCTGAAATTCGTCTCCAGATAACAGCGCCGGCATTTCCAGCGCCTYTCCGCATCGTTTGATCCCCACGCGGAGTCGACTTCCCAGCTATTTATTTCTGTCTCTTCTCCTCGGGCTTTAACGCGAAGGGTTATTCGGTATTTGGAGGAATTTTGTCTTCTGGTCGTTTGGCTTTTTACGTCCTTCTCGTTCCCTCGCCTCGAGTTTGAGATAATCAGAGCCCATCATCACGCCACCCTCTGCTCTGAATCGCAACCAAAGCAGGCTCCTTGTTGGAGCAAGGGGCCATTGTTTCTTTTGCGGGGGAGTGTGGGACTGTTCTGAAAATTAGCAGAACATTAAAACGTTAAAAATACATTTAATTAATCCAAAGGTGCCCCCAGCACCAGAGTTAACACCTCCGCAGGAGGAGGGGAAAAATAATAATCGAGGAAGCAATTAATAAAAGGCTTAAAAAAAAATCAATCTCCTCCTGTGCGAATTTAAAATGATTATCTAGGGGACAAGGATTGATCATTTGATCTCGGCACTGCGGATATCCCTGACATTTATTATATTGTCGTGTCTCGGTGGCATCCTTCCTCCAGAGTTCGTTTAACAAGTGAGGGAGCGGAGGAAGCCTTACAACTTAACAAACAGGTCTTGTCATCGCAAACGCCAATCAAATCCGAGGCTCTAATGTATATCACACGGCACCACATAAATAATAAAGGCAAACGATAGACGGGGAAGTAACGTATGGCTGAAGAAAGATCCTGGCACGACACGCTGCTTGTGCTTCTCTCATGTAGTCTGCGCCTGTAAGGGCTCGTAGTGGATTGTTGTGCGGGCTGGTGCGTGGTGCGAGGGTGTCGCGARCACGCGGGGACAGCAGCACGCGTTCCCGCGTGGGAGAGGCTCCGTATCGGGGCTGGGCCCCCGCCGCGGAAACTTTGCCCATCTCCCTCGGCTCCACCGGCACCGCTGCCCACCGTGCCTAGTCTCCCCCTGCTTCCCTCGCAGCAAGCGGCAATCGAGGATAAATATTTACTGACTCCGCGTCGCCAGCCCCGGAGAGGCGCGGTGCGCGTCGGCTTCCCCGAGCTGCCGGAGTTTGGACCAAGTCCCTCTTTCCTCCCTCTCGCCCCCGTCCCGCTCTCCTCCCCGCAGCTCCCCCCTGCGCCCAGCCCCACGCCTGCAGCCCACCCGAGCGCGGGGCCGCGYTCCTCCCGGAGCCCCCCGGGCGCCTCCTGCCACCGCCGGGCTCCTGCCCCCGAGGACAGGGGCAAATCCAAGCCTCCTCACACAGAGCGGGGGGGAAAGTTCTCTAGCCTGTTCTCCATCCCTCCCTCCCTGCTTCCCAGGAAGGTTGTTCGCCCCCCGCTTCCCGTGATGCGTGGGGCGCAGCTGGGTGCGGGGCAGCCACCGGGAGCGCAAGTGGCGCGGCAGCGCGGGGACCACCGCCACCGGCCGCCTCGACGGCAGCAGGGACACCGCCGGGGGGGAGCCTTGCAGCCGCGGGGAACTTGCTTCATACGCACTCCGAAAGAGAAAAAGGAAACAAAGCACCGGAAAGGGCAGGGAGAAAAACGGGAMAATAATAATAAAAACAARCGAACAAACAAAAAAGGACCAGTGAAAAGCCCGAGTCTCCCGGGGATCCGGCCTCCACCCCACGCCGCGGACCGTCGCGGGGGCGGACGGCGGAGGGCGCAGGAGCGCGGGCAGCCCCGCGGGCGCGCACAGCCCCACTACGCGCTCCGCGCAACGCGGATCTCTGCGAGAGGGGACGGGCCCGTCCCGTCCTGTCCCAGAGGCGCGGAGGGGAGAGGCGGGAGGAGGGGAGAGCCCCCGGCCCCACTCTTTGCGCAGCCCGCGGCTTTGGGGGGACACAGGGCGAAGTGGGTAGTGGGGGCAATTTTGACCACACTACAAACTTTGACTGCGGATTCTGAGAGGAATTACCTTCATTGCTGTTCTGGATAATGGGCTGGGGAGGAGGCATGGAGGGAGGGATAAAGGGAAGGAGAGAGAGAGAGAGAAAGAGAGGGAAGGAACTGCCGTCCAAGCCCCATTCCCTTGCAGGAACGGAGCTCCTGGGACCCTGTCGCAAAACTAAAAAGTCAGCAGCGCCCCTCGGAGCTTCCCTCTGCCCCCGGCTCACCGAGGGACCTTGGATACCCCTTTGCCGTGGCACAAGCCACCCCGCTCTCCCAGATCACCCCTTGCAGGACCGGCCATCAGCGGCACATTGAGGGCTGTCCCAACAGCCCGGGTTGCCGGGTCACCTGCGGGGCACCATGCCCCCAAATCCTTCTCCTCTTCCCCCCAACTGCCCTGAGGCAACCCCCTCTGCCCTGCTGGGGGTCCTAACTAAACAAAAGGGCTGGCCCGTTTATTCCACCCCTCTTCCTTTCCCCACCGCCGGCCCTACGGGGCTCATTCCCCGTCCGCAGATCCGAGCCCGCCCCCTGGCTGCCCCCTCCCCGGAGTGAGAGGAGGCATCCACGAGCAGGGGATAGTCCGGACCTTGGACTACAGAGGAGCGTTTATTTAGCGTGGTATCAATCCATGTGTTATTTTTGAATTCCTCTTTCAAAAGAACCTCTTGAGTATTTGGTTTTTCTCCTAGTTAAGCCAGAAGAATAATCATGAATGAGTTTAAGCGTTGCACTACCTTTAAGCATATCCAAGGCAAAATATTGAATTTCATATTTATAGGAGGAATTTACATTTGTACATTGACTCATGGCGTGACGTAGGGCGAAACCGATTTCCTCCCAGTCCCCCACCACCCCTTCAGCTTATTTTGGTCTAAATGGGGCAAATAAGCAAACAGAAAAATCATCGGTTTAATCCACGTTTTAATAAGCGCTGACCCGAAGAGCAAGATTTTGTTGAGTAGATAACTGAGTCCTCTCTCTCTCCATCTCCCTCCCTCCTTCCGTCTCTCTCTCTCGTGATTAATTCAGGGACTGTAATCATGGACATTGTACATCAAACCTTTCTGCTCACGCTACAGACTCCTGCAGATCTTTATTGGTTTACATGAAAGCGAGTAAACATATTTCAGAGGATGCCCTTTCAATCTGGCTCCATTTCCACAGCACATAATTCCAAGGACAATTTGTTTTAATAATAAGAATGGATGCAGTGTTAATGGTTTTCAATTTGTGTTTAAAAAAAAAAATTAAATATTTATAAGTATCGATCGAGGGTTCCAGGATTTTACAGACGTCTTAACACATTTCATAGATGGGATTTTTTTTTTAATTTAGAAACCTGCGTCGTATTCTCTTTTATGCTGTTTATTGATTTAAGCAGCATCCGTGTCTCAAGCGAGAGACTAATAGATTTTCATTAAAATAGGCTCTCTTAATCCTGATTGTGAATGGATATGATTGATCCATCCAGCACACTACACATCTATAATATTAATAAAGGACATTATCATGGCAGGATTTGCTTTTCCGTCATCAGGGCACTTTCGTTTTTTCTCCTTCCTTGCAACCTTAAAGATTTATTTGGGAGCTGTAAAATAGCCCACAGGAGGGAGACGCTTTGGGGAGAATACATTTTTATATTAGATTTTTTTTTTGGTAGTTTAAGTGGAAAGATTTTTTTTTTTTTTAAATCTACAAACTGCTGTGGCAACATATGGTGAAAATTAAACTGTTTCCCCTGCAAATCTAATCTTAAAACATTTATGTTGAGTTTTATTTTTAGAAAAACATTT